TTTTAAAAAATTTCACAGAAGGGAATTTTTAAAATGACCTGAAAAAGACAAATTTTGAGCTTTATTCTAAGCATGCTGTTGCCATGACAACATATTTTTAACACAAAAGTAGCAATTTGCAATGTTCAGTAGAACATTGTCAATGTGTCCAATAAATTTCGTTTTCATATCATGTAAAGTAAAGAAACAGGAGTCTCCTGAATACTATAGTGTAGTAAATTAAAAAACCCTAGTGAGCCACCTTAAAGGGGGTCTAAATAAAATATTTTAGCCTAACAGGTTCTTAAATTCTAGGTTCTTATATGCGGGGTTTTACTGTATCAAATCTGTTCAATAAGTTCAACAATACACCCTGGGATGCCATTTTTATGCTGGTAGGTCTCCCTTTCTCTCTTATAACCACACTAACTGTTTTCTCCATCAGGGTAGAGATGATGCTGCAAATTCTCCTCAGTTGATGCAACATGATAAAGAGATGCCTTTATAGCATTTGCCATTTCATCAATATCATTTAGATTATCTTCAACCACTAGACCATAGCAGTTTTGCAGAATATCTATTTTACCATCAGTGAGTCTACCTTTGCCACTCAAGCCTTTACTGTTACTGAGTTTTACACCTTTCTTTGTAATTTTCATTTTTCAAAGTCAACTTCCAAGTTGCTTCTGTATGTGACCAATACACTCCAGTTTCTTTTGAATGCAATCTTCTCCATATGGGGGTTCTTGTCAACAATGGCATTATAGGTTGAAGAATCCCCAAGCATATGTACTTCAAACGTCTGGTGGCCAATGACCGCTCAAAATCATTATTGCTCGTGATGTCTCCATGCTGTTAGCATTTCTTTCACAATTGATCTTGCAATTGTGTGAAGCTTTCCATTCATTGTATCTGAGATTATTCAACTTCTTTTGCCACTTCAAACATTGCTGACACTTGCCTGACATCACTTCAACCTCAAGACACTTCTTAGTATCCAGGGATATCACTGTAACAATGCTGTTGTGCAAAGCATAGCCCCTCTTTTGCTAAGTGCCATCCAAAGATATTCCAGGGGTATTTTAGGTTTTGGGTGGGAGCTCCCCACAAATTTCATTTTTTTTTATATGGGAGGGGGGATTTGCCCCCCTATAGTCACAAACCCAGACGTCATTTCTTCTGCTTACCTATTCCCAAGTGAGGGAATAGAAATGTGGTATGGGTTCACCAACAACTGCACCTCTAAGTGATTACCCATATACAACTGTGCTTCTAAGTGATTACCCATTTTTATACTCAGGGTTATATGCCTTAGCACTTTAATATTAATAATGATATTCAATAGTTAGAAGAAGTTATATTGCTTCACTACAATTTTATAATCATTCATTAGTTACTTAGTATAATTCTAAATAGAGTGAAGCAGGCTCTCCAAAATAACCAATAGGCTAATCAGAGCTGGAGGCCAAAGATACCGAATAATAATAAAAGGAATTAATGCAGCAAGATATTAAGAACCAAAAAGAAAGGAAAAGAAAGAAATGATATAAAAAACTACTTTCTGAATTTTTTTTTAAAAGTTAGTACGAATCAACAAAATTAGCTTTAAGTTTTCGTTTGAGCTGAGTGAATGACAACCTTTTGTCAAAATCGCTGAGTGCATTCCACACCTTGACACCCCGATATCTAATGTTAAATAAACCAAAATTTGTCCTGGGTTTAGGTAATGATAAACAAAGTCCCGACGCAAGTCTTGTATTATATGAATGTAATTGATGCTAAGTAAGTAGTAATGCTATTGCTACCTTCCTTGGTTTTCATGAATATTGACCCCTTCAATATGGAGGGAAAGGTAAGGGGTCAGTGCGATTCATCTGCTCTACGATTTGTAATGTGCTGTAGATTGTGTTCCAGGTGCAACTTCGTTTTTCAGCTTCATACAGAAATTGTACACTTTTCTTTTCAGTGCCTCTCCTCATTGCTGGGATATTCTGTTGAATGAATTTTGTGAGAAGAGGTTGCCAGTTGTGACACGCCTTTGTGATACTCGGTGGTCGGCTCACTCGGTAGCTACTTCTGCCTCAAAAAAGGGCTACAAGAACATTCGCGCAGCTCTTGCCTCCATTTTGAATGATGCAGATGAAGAACCAGCAACAAAACAAGAAGCAAATGGTCTTCAAAAGAAGATGGACCAGTTGGAAAACTGCATCTTGTTGGGACTCTGAGAAACTGTTCTTGAACGATTCCACAAGACGTCCATGAAGTTGCAAAGTGCCAATCTGAGTGTTCGTTTCTGAGTGTTTGTTTCTGAGTTGAAGTGTACTTGCCTATTCTGGACAAGCTGCATGCTGAGTTCAACAAGCGTCTACAAGCCTATGCCAAGCTGTTGCATAAGTTTGGATTTCTTCACAATGTTTTTCACCTCGATGCCAAACAGCTGAAAGATGGAGTGGACAATTTGCTACAGCAATATCCAAATGACTTGGAGCCATCTCTCATAGAAGAGCTGGTCCATTTTCGTGAATATTTCAAGGGAAAGAATCTACCTTGCAAGGAAGATGTGTTAGATGCATAGATATCTTATATATGCACTAGATAGTGCATCTAATCCCCGAGCTGACGGTGCAACGCGCCGTGCGAGGGTCTAATTCCCCCCAGCTATTTACACCCGGGGAAACGAAAGCATTAGCGAAGTCTAAAGTAAGTTCATCAATTATTGCGGGCATGGGTGACCAACGATGGGTGGTCATCGTCACTGATCTCAAAAATATGGCGGACTGTCATGAATATTTTAACGTTTGCATGTCCAATTTAACGTTTGCATTATAACGACTAATTTTATATTTATTTTATTTGTTATAATTTTAACATGTCCAATTTAACGTTTGCATTATAACGACTGCATGATGACAGCCAAATAGCACACATTTCTTGATTTTGTAAATTTCAAAAGCTTTCTCAGAAAGAAAGGGCAAAAGAATCGTCTAAAAGAAGGGAACCGGTTGTTTCGGACAGTCTGCATGAACATTAAACTCTTTAACTTTATACCTTAGTAATTTTACCTTGATTTAATATGATTATAACTTGATTCAGTATTTTAGGTGTTGACAGATAGTAATTATTTAATGACGTAGATAGCTAAAAAGACATTTTAATAACATTGGACAAAAAACGAGTTTTATTGAGAGTACTGCGAGTGAACTGTAAACAGAGAGATTAACAGCCGTAGAGATCCACTCTTCAGGTACAGTGTATTGTGATTAATCATTTGTATTAAGCCATTAGGATAGCTATGAATTTCTCAATCATGCATGTAATATTTTGAACTGTAATCTAATCAGAATCTAATTATTTACTGTAGAATTTTTATATTATATATTACGAAAAATCTCTATGGTCTGTGCGTGGTTCAATCCTTGGTAACATGTTCTGAAGAAGGACTAATAAGATTGGCGTCGAGTTAGCAGACGAATTACGGGTTATTGGATAGAATCATGAACGAAAACGAAGGCCAAAGCGGCTCAGCTGAGGCAGTACAAGAGACGGCGCATGGTGAGTCAGACGCGAAGCCAACTCAGAGGTAAGACTACTCGATCTATAAATAGAGCCAGAAAGTTTATAGAAGAGGGCGCAGAGAAGCGTAAACGGATAGAAAAAGAAATCATTCAGATACGAAAGGACTTTGAGTTAGCGCGTGAGTGTCACGCTGAGATGTATGAGTATGTGGGGGAAAGTCAAACCTCAACGATGGACGAGTGGGAAGATATACTCACTAACGATGTATACGACATCGAAGAGATGGTCGAAACCTTTCTCCTGTCCCTCTCTGTGTCCGAACACGCTAACCCAATGTCCTCAACGAGCGAACAGATTTTAGAGCCTGAATTAGTCAATAGTAACATTATCGAACCAGCAGGAGGCAACGCGCCAGTTAGTCACGAGGAAGTCGAGGGAGCTTCAATTCATGAGACCGAAGCTTCGGGAGGCGCGCAATCCGTCACTAACAGCGATAAAACTGTGTCAAATGCCGAGAACCTGCAAAATATAGCGTGTAACTCTGTGACAGACGAACTGGATTGCCCAAAGAGCAAAATTAATCCCAACCTGTCATCGCCGCAATCTTTCGACACCTGGATAGACAATTTAATTGAATTTGAAGAAACAGTTTTACCGACTAAAGTGTCTCAAATGTCAATCGCGGAAGCTTTGTACAAATTAGAGTCTAGTAAGGATATTCCTAGTATTGTACTTATTAAATATGACGGAAACCCGCTTACTTATGTTGAATTTATCGAGCGTTTCAAGCTACACATTCATGACCGGCCCCATCTGTCTGACGATTTGAGAATGGTACAACTAAAAATGCATTTAATCGGAAACGCCGAACGCGCTATTAGTGGTCTAGGTTCGCAGGGAACAATGTATGCGACAGCGCTAAAAACATTAAAGGAACAATTCGGCCAGCCAAGCGTCATTGCTAGAGCGTACATAAATAAGCTAGTAGAGAAACGGAAACTCCAGGGTGACGACAGACAAGCGTTGCAAGAATTCTCCTTTGATGTGGTAAACTACGTAGCTACGTTAAAGCAAATTAATCACCTAGCAGATGTCAACGCGACCGACAACCTACGCAAGATCGTGAAAAGGCTTCCAGATCACCTTATTGACAAATGGAAAGGTGTGGCATCTGATCTCAGAGAGAAGGGGGTAACGCCCTCCCTTCAACATATAAGCAATTTCATCAGGAAACGCGTAAAGGCCGAATTTGACCCGGACTTTGGCGACATTCAGAAATCAGATTCTCGACGTTTTAGACCAGATCGAAAGGGAATTCACTCGGGTCAAAGGGATCCAAAGAAATCGGGAATCCAGTGTTACGTATGTTCCGAAGACCACCGTGTAGCAGAGTGCCCGACCTTTTCCAGCTGTTCCAACGACGACAAGATCCAACACGCCAGAGATCAGCGATTATGTTTCTCGTGTTTAAACCGTGGACACGTGACAAGAGATTGCAAATCGAAGGAGAAATGTGGAGTTAAAGGATGTCCTCGCTTCCACCACTGTTTACTCCACGTAGATTTCCCATCCTCTCCTACGACACCCCCCCTAAGTTCAGCGACATCTGCGCTCGATAAAGACAGCATCATGCCAGTAGTTAGAGTTCGCTTCAAGTCGGCAAACGGACGAATTCGCGAAGGTAACGTTCTCGTAGACAGTGGTGCTGGTACTACCGTGATTCGGACAAACTTCGCGAGGGCTCTTGGTTTGCAAGGAAAGAGAGAGAAGATCGACATTTCAGTTGTTGGCGGAGAAAGAATAACGCAGAATGACAGCAGAAGAG